CAGGAATTTAATTTGCTTAATTCACAGCTGCTGTTTATGATGATGATATTTCTATGTTAATGCAGTGAGTGAGTCTGTCAAATGTCAGTAGTTGTGTTTGACAGCAGCTTTTCTTCTTCTTTAGTCTGGTTTGGCTCTAAGGAATCCAGTGTTAGGTTGCCTTTCATGTTTTGGTAACTTGTGCTGAAGAGGACCATCTTCACGCACCTAGCAGTATTTTACTACAGAGCCATCCACAGCAACGTAAAGGAGAATTTTCATTGCACGTGCAAAAGATTAAAGGGTTTCTCTTGTCTTTCAAGTGGCGAAACAGCTCCTACGTGCCTGCTGCTGGAGCCTAAGGGCACGGCGCGTTTCGGCACGGCTTTCCGGCGCCGGAGGAGGCGTTCGGTGCGCAGGGAACGCGAGGCGGCTCGGCTGGGCCGGAGCTGCTGCGCGCGGCCCCACGGCGGAGCTGAGCGTGCGGCAGGGCCCAGGCAGCCCGAGCCGCACAGCGAAGACGGTGGAAAGAGCGCGGTGGAAAGCTGTGCCGTTAGCTGAAGCCACAGCTGTGCCAATGTTTCCTTTCCGTGTGAAGGTGGAGCTGAGCGTGCCGGCCCCACGGCGGAGCTGAGCGCGCGGCCCCACGGCGGAGCTGAGCGTGCGGCCCCACAGCGGAGCTGAGCGTGCAGCAGGGCCCAGGCACCCGAGCCGCACAGCGAAGACGGTGGAAAGAGCGCGGTGGAAAGCTGTGCCGTTAGCTGAAGCCACAGCTGTGCCAATGTTTCCTTTCCGTGTGTGAGCTGTAAAACTTGGGGGTGCTGCAGACTGCGTATGGGAAACTTCTGTGCCCCTGCCCGCTGTGCTGCTCGTGGCTATTGCTGTGTGGGACAAACCCCAGGAAACAGCTGAGAGCGAGTCCTGCGGCGCGAGAGGAGGGGTGGAAATCCTCTGCCCTCGTAGCGAGGGATGTGGTATCGTGTGCGGTGGTTTTCTTGGAGCTAAAAATGAAATAGACTCTGTTCTTGACTCCGTCAGTCCGAGGGCTTTTAAATTGCCAAGAAAACAACCCTCCCCCAACCGACCCCCAGCAGCCGGGCAGGCAGAGCCGCTTCTAACTTCAAGTTAAAGAGCTGTGATTCCTGCCTCGCTCCTCTTCCTCCCCATCCCTTCAGCAACAGAGCCCGTTCTTATGCGTGCAGCTGTACTGAAAACGAGCCCTAACCCGGGACGCGGCCGTGGGGAGGGCCCCGAGGAGCAAACTGCTCCTGTGCGCGTGGCACAGGACGGGACGCAGCTCCTGCTGTGCCCCCCGGCGAGGAAGAGACCTGCAGCGGTGCCTCTGCAGAGCACCCGGCCCATCGGGCTCCCTTTCAGTCTCTGCTGGCAGTTTTAGCTGGGCTGAACGGCCTTTTTGGTGGGAGAAATTCTGCCTCCGTGCCCGCTCCAGCGACAAGGCCTCGAGTGGGGGCCGTGGCCCCGAGAGCTGCCCTGCTGCAGGAGAGGCTTCCCCCAGTGGCTCGGGGATGTTTTTCTGCTCTCGTATCCGTGGTGCTCGTTCCGGTTTCGCAGCCGTGCTGGAGCTGTCGTGGCCGCCGTGCGGCGGGGGCGGCCTGGAGCGCTCCCGCTGC